TTACTATCATCATCGAGTGAAAGGGGAATACCGAAAAACGATGAAAATAGGAGGATGTGTAATAAAGATCCTAATCCGAGGTGATTCCACGAGACTCGAGAATTGATGGAGATTATATATGAACGAACGATTATCCGTAGGATGTCCGTCAACCGTTCCCAACAGAACAAAATCCAAAGAACGAAAAAGAGCCGCGGTGTTTCTCCCGTGAAACTGTTAACGAGAGTGCAATTTTCCAGGTCAACCGGCGGTTACCTGGAAAACTGATCCAATTACGCGACGAAGAACGCGCAACGTCCGCCATTTTTTGCGTCTGTTAACCGAGGAACTTTTACTATCCGCGCTCTCGATCTCGTTTGTTTCATCGGGGAAGAAAGGAGCGCGGGACCGAGGAGTTTCGCTGTCGCTTTCACCCCCGTTAGAGACGTCGCGACAGACATACTCCCGCGTCGTTTTTAAGATACCCAAATACTCCATCAAATTCCTGTATCCTAGAAATCCTTTACTCTACTTTCAGCACATCGCACACCTTTCAGCAATGTCCGCAGGAATCAAAATGATGCATCCAGAAAACACCATTTTTCGTCAATTCTCGCGAGGCTGATGAGGATCCAAAAATATGAACCCTAAGCAACGGCTCTAACGAATCTATCAATTACAGATCACTGCAGTTTAAACTTTCCCAAACCCTTTCCAACCCTATTCTGTCAAGACTAGGTCCTTTAACCCTTTGCACTCCAGTTTTTCATTGGAAACACTCAACATTTTCGAATCAGATACCAACGACATTCCTTCAAATTTGACGAGAAATCGCATATAAATTGAGGAACGAAATTATTTTCTTTCGATACGTCACATATTGAAGCATTGTACAAAGTTTAATATCAAACTTTACAATTTTGCTGTGTCAAATCGGCGACTGAGAGGCGCCTATGGAGTGCAAAGGGTTAAATACCGAAACTAAGGTAACTACGGAATTTAGCTTCTGAGAAGGCTTCTTTGCAAATTTTTCCTATAGAAATCGCAAACTACGCATACGTCACGTTGATGACATACTTCAGGTAGAATGTGTTAGTGAGGCTAAGGATGAAACGCAACAAACTACTTGAAATAATTTTAAAAAACAAAGTTGGTTAGTCTCAGCGAGTGACAGCAGTGTGAACCTCCGTCTGATTGTATTTTATGGAATAAAAGTAAAGTGTAAAAAGTATTTAGAGCTTTTCTTGAGAAAACAGTCTCGCAAAGAGACCATGACAGCACGGACGAGCCGGAGAACGAGGCAAACGCGCAGAAGGAAGGCGATGGTACCCGCAGGAAAGTAGCCGGCGGTGTTCCTGGTCTCGGCGAATCTATGGAGTATCACGGGACACAGGTCGACGTAAATAGAACGTCGCCGTCGCGAGGTAAACAGCGAACGGATGTCGGGATGAAGGAGAGTACGGCGGAACAACGTCGCGGGATAAAGGGACTCGCTTTGAACGCGTCGCCGGCTGTCGAGCTTCTGCAGGTCACCAATTACGTTTAAGTGGAATGAAAACATTGACGGTAAGCCGGCTTGCGAGCCTTCTCGGGTTTGAATTCGAAGAAGATAACGGCTTTGATCTTCCGTTCAATGAATATTCACGTTAGAAGGTAACACGTCTCCATGTGAATGATGATCGCTGGGTGTTTCAGTTAATTTCGTCTAATTCCAATGTTCATTCTTTTGTTACATGGAATTATTCACCATTATCGGGTAGATACCGAGGGAGAAATTAAGAAAATCAGAAAAGTAGAATTATACGATGATTTACTGTTAGAGACTGTTGATAGTAAGCATTAGATATATTTTTAATGGTATGAAAACCATCAAGCTAAGAACAGCGTTTCTGTTCGGTAAATCACCTTTAATATATATTAATAAATATATACTTGAACTCTGTTGCATTTATTTAGTGAATAAATATTCAATAGAAACTACAGAGGAATGAATATAGGAACTTTTTTTAAACACTCCGATGTCAGAGGAGCATTCGTTTTGTTTCTAGGTTATTTTACGCTTTAATCCAGCTATTCTGCTCGCCGCGGCTTGTATATTTTCATTTACCGTTACGTCTTTTAGCGGTGGGCTTTTGAAATACAAATCCAAGGCTTCATCGCGGATGCAAAACGAACGGTGCAGCTCCTACGCAGCGCGGACAGTGAATCCACGCCCCGATTCCCGTTGACCTAATAAACGAACGTCCGATAGACGAACTGACAGCCGAATGCGCGCACACGCGCGCACGCCGCCTCGCTGGAAAACTGTTCCCAGCGAAATCGGTCGATTTCCATGCAGACGAATGAATAATGCACGACCGCCGGCGTGTGTTGGTTCATGCGATTCCGACAGCGGATGTTGGATGGTAACGGCGTTACGTGCGGCTGTCCGATAGAATTTTCGTTGTGTGGCGTGTTTGGAAACCTCGTTGCGCCTCGCGTATCGTACGCAAATGTCGGCTAATATCGTCACCTACCGCGAATACCCTAAATCTGATTTCATCTTTCCTCACGCAACCGTTCCTATCGGGGAGCTACCTTCGAACGAAAAGCTACGCGAGTACCCGACACTTAATACAGAAATTAATGATCCTCGCAGAATATCGTATTACCTAATACATATACAGATTTCAGGTTAGAAGTTACAGAAAAAGATAATCGATAGGGAAATTAGTTCCCTCGCTATTGTTCCCCACGAACACTCGAGCGGTTAATTTGACAGCATTGTGGGTCAAAGCTGCGAAGTGTGTCCCTCGCTCCAAGGACGTCTAGTCGGGTCACCTGGATTCTGCTCATTAGCAACTGGAGAATAAATTTATTCATCCACGCGTTCCTCCGATAAGACTCCCGAACCTAGCTTCTCCACCCTTAATTACAAAACGATACGAAACAACCAAACCTCAACGATCAATCTCGTCAAACAGTAACACTAATATCCATCATATCGAACTTACTAATTCTAATAAAATCAAGTATCTAAGCGTCCTCAACTGTGATCAACGTCACAAACTCCATTCCCAGAAACAATCCCAAAAACAATCCCCCAACGAATAGCAAATGAATCGACTAACACGTCTGGAGCTGCAGTCGTTGCTCGAGAAAGGGAGCGACAGAAGTAAAGGCGAATCGCTCGATAAAGCCAGTCACCATTCAAGGTCCGCGCGGCGCGTTCGATAAACGTATTTCGAACGGAGCGCGCGCGGACGGCCGGGACAGATATGCCCATTGTGTACAGGCCCGTGCAGTCTCCTCCGTACGCCCCGAATCGAATACGTAATCGGCGAGCAGCGTAGCTTTACGTATTTACCTACACGACGCCGGGGCACACGTACGCGCGGATCGCGAGCGAGCGAGCGCGCGATGACCGGGCGCACCACTTATCGGGGACCAGGCGTTGGTGATGTAATCGGTAACGTAAACCGCGGGGCGACGCCGGGTCTGCCAGAGTCGGCCGATGGCCAACGACCAATCGGAAAACGCGGCGCGTTCGTTCCTCGGGCTGCGTGCATCGTATCCTTTCGCTGGCCTCGTTCCCTAGCGAACGCGCCCCTTGCCTGCGCCAGGATCAAGGATACGCGTCGTCCGCGGGACTCGCTTGGCAACGGATCCCTTTCGGTCCGATTCTCGAGCACGCGAAGGTTCGAATGAATGATACGCTGATTTTCTGGTAGTAATGTTCCTTAGGGAGTTTTACGAGTGATCATTGTAGAGGGTCGTATTGATCCTTGACCGGAAGGATTTCAAGGTTATCGCGAGGAAATACTGTGATAGAAAGAAGTTCATGGAAGTGAGTTAGTATAATACTTAACGTGTTAATTGTAGGTATCAGAAGAATAATAGTGATTTTTGCTGTCATTTATGCATTGGAGCAAGTGAAAGTGCGTTAAGGGTTAATTAGGGATTAGTGTTGGTAGTTATTTAAAGTATGTTGTATATGCGGTTTATTTTTAGTGGTTGTTATTGTGTATGTTGAATGTTTTTTGTAATGTTTATTGAGGAGCTTGTATGGGTTGTTAGTAGAGAGAGTTTTTTATT